GTCTTTGCTGATATTGAAGTCGAGCCAAGGAAACTCTAGACTGTATGTGTTTTCCACAGCTGAATTTTAACTTATTGCTATGGAAAAGATGCAGACAGAAGTGACAGCGTTTGGAATAAAGAGAACAATGCCTAGGGTCTCTGCTTAAGGTTGTGCAGCCTGCACACTGCACAAAGGCATTGGGTGGATGGGCAGGAGGTAGGGAAATCCCACTGGCACGGGCGCTTCTGGAAACTGTGCCATTTGGTAATTGATCCGCTCAGAGGAGACTCTTTTTTTTCCCCTCAATTCGTCTGCCTACAGGAAGTGCCGTTTTGTAATTTGCCAGAGGCACTGTATGTGCCAATAGTGGCCCTGGCAATGCTATAGACCTGTAGAAGATTGAGTTAGAAAAATTAATCTTGCCTGCTACCTTTAGGCGGGAAAGTAAACCATCGGTAATTTTCTTCCCTATTAAAACTTTTCTGTAGAAGATCCTCTGGCTTGTAGGGCAACACATTTCAGTCTCTTAATATTTTTCTCCTCCTTTCGTTCTGTTGGGACTAATAATAACAATCATAATAATTAATAACTTATGCCATACTGGTGGAAAAATTAAAGACAAAGTGAAAACTAAGGAACATCCAACTAAAGTCAATTAGAGTCTCAGTAACTGGTTTTATATTTAGTAGCTGGACCTCTTATAGAAAGAAGGAAAATTCAAGTGGTGCTACTTCTAGGAACTTGTCAGGTCATACAAGGTCGAATCTAAGCAATGAAATATTTATTGCTGAAATGAGATTCAGAAGATCTGATTTCTAATCTCAATATTTACTAAGTGTTGTTCTTGGACAATTCACTTTCTTTTTCTGTGCCTCAGTTTACTTGCCTGTAAAATAACTGGGTTATTTCTAATGCTCTTTCCAGCTCCAGAACTCTCTATTTTATTATTATACGCAATTCAGTTCATGCCACAAAATAGACCAGAAATAATAATCACCTGGTCTAACCGTCCTTCGTTAGATAAAATAAATGCATGCCCGGATTTTTTTTTTTTTTTTTTGGAGAGCAACCTTGAGTAAGAGGAATTCTGCTTTACTCCTATCTTCCTTCCTATAGCTGAAGATGCATTCCTGGGACGTGACTTTTTTTTTTTTTATTGAGTTATTGATAGGTTACAATCTTGTGAAATTTCAGTTGTACATTAATGTTTGTCACTCATGTTGTAGGTGCACCACTTCACCCTTTGTGCCCACCCCCCACCCCACCTTTCCCCTGGTATCCACTAAACTGTCCTTAGTCCATAATTTTAAATTCCTCATATGAGTGGAGTCATACACAGATTATCCTTCTGTCGCTGGCTTATTTCACTTAACATAATTCTCTCAAGGTCCATCCATGTTATTGCAAATGGAATGATTTTGTTCCGTTTTGCAGCTGAGTAGTATTCCATTGTATATATGTACCACATCTTCTTTACCCATTCGTCTGTTGCTGGACACTTGGGTTGCTTCCACGTCTTGGCTATTGTAAACAGTGCTGCAATGAACATTGGGGTGTATAGGACTTTTGGGATTGCTGACTTCAAGCTCTTTGGATAAATACTCCTGGGACATGACTTTTTAAGGTCGTGTTCCCAGACTTGGAAAAAGGTGGCCCCAAAAGAGCAGCTTGGTTTCTAGTCTAGTCGCTTAAAAATCTCAGATCTGCTGACAGCCATGCTGGTCTCCCCTTCTGAAACTTCGATTACATTATCAGAGGTGCAGATGGTGGACCATTCCTTTCACCTATGAAAAGCCTCGATGATTGTTCCCTTGCCTTGTTCAGGTAGAACTTTCCTCTGGTCAATGTGTAATATCATCACCGTGGATGTGCCCAGGGCAAGCAACATTCAGCAATTCTCACTTCTTTTCCCATAAAACCAAGGAAGGAAGAAATAGAAGAAAGGAAGAGAAGGAGGGAGAATAACTGCAGATCTTTGTCCTGGGTTTCTCCTTTTCTCTCCATAACTGCCCCTCGGATCTCAGCTGAGGACCTAAGAGCCATGTATCCCCACTGCTATTCTGGAGTTTGTTTTTAGCTATACTTTTGATGGCACCATTAGGCAGCGGGGCTTTGAAGCATTTTGAATAAGCAATTCTTCAATTAAAGCGTTTTACATTTGTTCCCTACTTTATACACTATGCTACGGAAAAATGTGGTATTGAAGTTTTCTTATGATGAGGCCTAATTTTACCACCTGGGGTAGAGTGATAGTGAATGACTTGCTCAAGGTCAAGGAAGGTAGGATTCATCCAAAGAGAAGCCAGAAATAGAACTGAGGTCTGCTGACTTTCGTTTTAGTTTAGCATCCAATAAACCACACTCTCTTTCCTCTGAACATTTTATCTCCAGTGGTTTGCCATGGGCACAGATATTAGACAGCCTACAAACCTAAACCGTCATAAAATGGTCAGATGTAGTAAAATAGGCTCCACAGGGAAAAAAACATATATGTCATTGTCAGTAACAAAACATAACTACCAGGTCACATTAGCAGCAGAGATGGTCTACCTTTACCCTTCTTTGGGCATCTTTTTCTAACAGAGAGCATGATTTTCTGTGTGTTTCAGTCAAAAACATATTTTGAATGAAAAAGTCATATTGCCTTTATATTTGTGCCTGCGATTGAGGTAATGAAGTATGGAGTTCATTTGTGAATGTTTTGAATGGCAACATCTCCTTGAAATTATTTTTGCTGGGAACTCAAATGAACATTCTTTCAAAATAGTCACACTGTTGTAATTGGCAAACCTCTGAGACGGTATCTTGGGAGGGAAACAACATGCAGTTGGAAAGGAATATAAAATTCATAGACTTGCAACCTGAATTATCCATTTCATCTACCATATTTTCATGTTAAAACCATCTCCAGATGGGAAGACAGGATCTTAAAATCTTTAATTATGAAAAAATCTATTAGACACTGGAAGGACATTACAATTTTATTACAACTTTTGTTTGCCCGTATCTTATTACCTGTTTATTCAAAATGTGTCTCACTATTTTTATTTTAAGACATACTTGACTATTTTTAAAATTTCTTTAAAAGTCTTTTGGAGGAAATAATGGCTTAGTCCCCCACAGGATCACGACATACTTCTTTGTTGAGGCTCAGGCCTCAAGTCTATTTAAGGATGGTTGCATTGCTAAACTCTAAAAGTGCTGCCTGATTCCTGATCAACTTCAGAGATTTTATTTATTTTTTGTGAGGAAGATTGGCCCTGAGCTAATCTTCCTCTTTTTGCTTGAGGAAGATTGTCGCTGAGCTAATATCTGTGCCAATCTTCTTCCACTTTATGTGGGATGCAACCATAGCGTGGCTTGATGAGTGGTGCTAGGTCTGCGCCCGGGATCCGGGCCTGCGAATCCCAGGCCGCCAAAGTGTAGTGCACGAACTTCACCACTACGCCACCGGGCCAGCCCAACTTCAGAGATTCTAAATAATTGATTTCAATAACTAGACTTATGTCTCATCTTCTAACAACAAGCACACGCCTCTGGGGATAATCTCTCCTAATGACAGAGAGAAGTCTTTCAGTTATGGAGGGTAGGAGAGGTGAGATTTGTTTCTTAGAAGCACTTGCTGTGTACAGAAAGATGAACTCTCTGAAAAGAACTTGATTCTAAAGTGTTCAGTCTTCGCAAATGCTTTTGTGAGTTTCTCTCCCCCTCCTTTACAAAATACCATCAGTTTCTCAGAAAATGGCTTTCTTCTAACCTCTGGAAATATGCCTTACTGGGATCCCAGGGGTGATTGCTTGGGTCAGCCTAAGACAACCTAGAGGCCAAATGCTGCTGTGAGTTTTTCTAATCGTGTAGGGCCTTAGGAAGACAGCGTGGTTACCTCCACTCAAAGTCAAGTAATGGGGACACACAAAGCAAGTCTAATTTCATTGGAAAGTTAAATAGAAGGAGTTTGGTTTTTTCCCAAACTAATTTTCCTAACCCAGAATACATGAATCAAAGTGGGATGTGATGTTTCCACAACAACTCTAGTGTGTCAAAGGCCATGAGACTGTTGTTTGTTCATGCTTCAGAGAAAATAGTATGTCTATAGTTCATATCAAACTCTGAAAACAACTTATTCTCAATAATGTGCTTGGTTTTCTTCTCTGAAAACTGAATTCAGTGGATAAGCTTCTCTCTTCCAAATTTTATTTTTAATGACTTGTATATTCTGTTTCTAATATCACATTTCATCCCAAAGCACCAAATATTTTTGGTCTGCCGGTCATCATAATATTAACTGTGTAAAAAGAATAAAGGTGCAAGACTGGTCAAATACGTCATCCACTTGCAACAGTTTTAGAAAAGTTGATAGACGAAAGAATTCTGAGTGAGATCATCCAGTATTTGACTTCCTCCATCTGACTTAGTTCACTTACATGTGGAGTATTAAAAAAACCACACACAAACAAATAAAACAAAAAACACATGGATACAGAGGACAGATTGATGGTTACCAGAGGGGAAGGGGGTGGGGGGAGGGTGACATGGGTAAAGGGGGTCAATCATATGGTGACGGATGAAAACTAGACTTTTGCACACACTGTAGTATATACAGAAGTTGAATTATAAATGTTGTATACTTGAAACTTATATAATGTTACCTCAATAAATCAATGTTACCTCAATTGAAAAAAAGAGTTATGCTGCTTAGAAATATTTCTCAAAGTTGTTCTCATTTGGGCTGCTAGTGGATCGAAAGAAAATTTGTTGAACTTAGCAAATAATAAATTGTGCTTGTTTACTCTCATGATCCGTGAACTGAATTTCAATAGGGCTATGATATTTAAAGATTCACTGATGAGACAGTTTAATGACTCAGTTGAGAAGAGATATGCCAACCAGACAAGTACTAGATTGTTAATTATCACTAGCTATTAGCTGGTGGCTGCTGACATTAGTTTATTGCTCATAATATTGTGGAAGTGTATAAGATAATGTGTGTTCTTCTCTTTTGATTTTTTTCCTTACAGGTCAAAATTACAACCAGATTTCACGTGTATATTTTCATACTCCCTCTTCTCTGCCATCTTTACATGCCCATCTTGGATCTCAACTTCTTCTTCAGGTATTCCTGCCCACTTATGATTATCAAAATCAACAAATAGCCATTAAGCATCTCTATGGGCCAGACACTGTGTTTGGCACTTTACATGCTTTAGCTCATTTAATCTTCACAACAAACCTACATAGCAGGTTCTACAATTATCCTCAATGCACAGTTGAGGACGCTGAGTTAAAGGAAGTTAAGCAATAGGCCCAAGGTCACAAAACCAATAAGTGGCAGAGAAGGTTTTAAACCCAGGTTTGATCGATTCTAAAGGCAGATCTTTCCATAATCATTGCAATGTTTCTTTTCTCTTACCTCCTAAGATACCATAATTTGCACTATGCAATTTTATACCAAATTGTTTTCAAAAATCCACTGTGCACTTACTCTTATCTCCCTTTGTTGTTAGTGCCGTCAAGTAGATTCCAACTCCTAGCGACCCTGTGTACAGCAGAGCGGAACCCTGCCTGGTCTTTTTGTGCCATCCTCTCACCTTTGGCGCTATATCAGACAATGCTCTGCTGCTATTCACAGGGTTTTCATGGCCAATTTTTTTGGAAGTGTGTGGCCAGGTCCTTCTTCCCAGTCTGCCTTAGTTTGGAAGCTCTACTGAAACCTGTCCACCGTGGGTGACCCTACTGGTCTGAAATACCAGTGGCATAGCTTTCAGCATCACTACAATATGCAGCCATCACCGTATGACAACTGACAGGTGAGTGGTGTGGTTCCCTGACCCTGAAATGAACCTGGGCCGTGGTGGTGAGAGTGCCAAATCTTACTATCACTAGGCCACCAAGGCTGGCTCTTTTCTCCCTATCTACATGCCAATCAGATTGAGGAGAGGCATGATATGTTGAGCTTCATTTTTAACTCCTGCAACCTCTTGGGGAGGACTAGAAGTACAGCAGAGACTCAGTAATGTATGATTGAGTTTTGTTTTCAATGTTCTTTTATAAAATAGCTACTTTAGGGGCCAGCCTGTGGCGAGTGGTTAAGTTGGCCCACTCTGCTTCAGTGGCCCAGAGTTCGCAGGTTCGGATCTCAGGCACGGACCTACACACTGCTCATCAGGCCATGCTGTGGCAGCATCCCACATAGAAGAACTAAAAGGACTTATATCGAGGATATAGAACTATGTACTGGGGCTTTGGGGATAAAAAAAAGAAGAAGATTGGCAATAGATGTTAGCTCAGGGCCAATCTTAAAAAAAAATAAGATAAGTTACTTTAAAAAATGCAACTAATTTTAAAAGCTCCTGTTGTTTTCTTTTGTTGACTTGTTAAAGAGTATTAATTTTTTCTGCAAAATGTCCTTTTTCTATTTCCTTGTGATTAAGGCCAAAATCATTCAATTGGACCTTCCTAACTTTCCCATTGATGTAAGAGGCAATGCTAGTGAAGAAAACACATTGGTAAGTAATTACAATATCTCTATTTTGGGAAGAAAAGACCTTTGTCCATGAAAGATTAATTATAAATCACAGAATGTTTAAGTTGGAGCGATCTGTGAGATCCCTACATACTTTATCTGTGCCTATTTCATGGTTCTTACGCCTGTCTAACTTGTATTTCAGTCTTTTGGGTACATACCTTCTGCCTTCTAGACTTATAATTTTCTCAAGGACAGAAACTCATGTCTGGTTCATCTTTCTATTCCTTAAAGTGGCTTGCACCATGCCTACCATGTATTCAGCAACCATCAGAGATTTATAAAACGAATAAATCAAATCCACCACCCTTTTGTTTGACAGATGTGGAAACAGATTCACTATGAGTATTTATATGACGCTAAGATCATACTGCTAGTTCCCGGCAAAACCAAGTCTAGAACCTTGTTATTCTGATTGCTACGCCAATGGTTTTTCCATGGAGTCTTGTTTCTCAGCTTGTTAAAAATGAGTATGGAATTTCTCTGAGTGAGCGTAATCCATCATTTGCCTTCAGCTAAAACTCCTGTTAACTCCCTATGAATCCATTGGGAATATACCCACTGTGGGAACCAGTACAAAGAACAAACACAAAGCACAAAGAGAAGGGAGAGTTATTTGTTCCCTCTTAGTATTCTTGGCCAGAATGGGTTGTATATTTAGTAGCGATAAGACAGATTTAAGCTTAAACACTGAGAGGCAAGTCAAATCATAACAGTGTAGGTGTTTGGGATACATGGTAAGGAATAGGTCAGTCTCTGCCAAATCTTGACTTAACTCTATGTGAATGTGTGTAAAATTACGGATAATATGAAATATTGTTATGAAAATTAATGGTTACAAAGATTAAATCAAATAACTAATAACATAAGCCTTTAGCAAATGTAGAAATGTCTTCTGCAAACTTGATTATGGGACATTAAGTGAAAATATTTTAATATTATGTTATAGAAAGTGATCATCATTAGTAAGAAACATTTACCGAGTGCCTAATTTGTGCTAGGATATGTGAATTGAAAGACAAGAAACTAAAGTCCTTGCCATTATTAATTTATAATCTAGTCTCAGGAACAAGACGTCCATAAATAGATGACTACAAAGGAGGACAGAGGGGGTGACTGTGAAGTCAGCATGAGAACTGGCCTTTAGTGCCGGCCCCAGTGGCCTAGTGGTTAAGTTTGGTATGCTCCACTTCAGCAGCCCGGGTTCAGTTCCTCGGTGTGGACTTTCACCACTTGTCTATCAGTGGCCATGCTGTTGCAGCAGCTCACATACAAAAAAAGAAGAAGATTGGCAACAGATGTTAGCTCAGGGCAAATCTTCCTCAGAAAAAAAAACATTGGCCTTTAATCTTAGTCAGTGGGGAGCATTAAATACTTTTGAACAGATTTGTGATATATGTACATACAGTGATCTTTTAAGAATATTACTTTGACATAGGTGTGCACTGATGGAAGGACAGGAGAAAATAGGTATAGAAATACCAATTTAGAGACTCTTGTAATAATCCATAGGTGAGGTGATGAGAAGGCAGACTAAGGTGAGAATGAAGGGCTATATAAGTAAAGGAGAAGACCTGGGAGAGATTATGAAGCCAGAATCTACATGACTTGATGACTCAATGGATCTAGAGAGGGAGATGTTAAAGCTGGTGCCAAAGACAGAAATTAGCTCTTTATAACTGACTGTATTATATATGTTACCCTGATTGGTTTGAATCTGCTATAAGGCAGAGGCTTTCATTTATTTTCTTTAAATTCCAATATCCCAGCAGAAATTGGGCAGTATTGCTCATGTATTTTGATATTCACAATAGGAAGCCCTTATTACAAAGAAAGGAAAATGGAAGACTTCATGACTGTAAAAGATTGTAAATGGAACTTGAACTCCCAGCAATGTGCAGCACAGTGCTGAGTATGTAGTAGGTGCTTAACAAGTACTTGAACTGAATTTAATTGTTGGTGTGGTAAAAAGATTAAAGTTCTGGGGCCGGCCGGTGGTGCAGCGGTTGAGTGTGCACGTTCTGCTTCGGCGGCCCGGGGTTCACCGGTTTGGATGCTGGGTGTGGACATGGCACCGCTTGGCAAGCCATGCTGTGGTAGGCATCCCACATATAAATTAGAGAAAGATGGGCACGGATGTTAGCTCAGGGCCAGTCTTCCTCAGCAAAAAGAGGAAGATTGGCAGTAGATGTTAGCTCAGGGCTAATCTTCCTCAAAAAAAAAAAAAAGATTAAAGTTCTGTTGGTTTTATTTCTAGCTCAACCAAGAAATAGTCATGTGACCCTGGGAAAGTCATTTAACCTTTCTGTATCTCCACATCCTGTTGGCATTAAGGACATGTAATAATCCTTCCATTTCTCACAGTCTATGACTTGATTCTAAATTTGATTCTGTCACTCAGCAAATCCTTTCCTGCGCCCGTGCTTCACTTCCAGCCCCTGCCTCACGCAGGACCTGGGTCTGCAATGAGACACCCAGAGTGCATTTCCTCTCATTGCCCCATGCTCCGGAACACTCCCGTCTCTCTTAACTTGACACCATCTCTCATCCTCCCACCTCTTTAGTCAAAACTCTTTTTTCCTCAGTGCTAATCTCAAAAAGTAGAGCAACCTGATCCGACAATTTCATATTAAGATATGAAATACTGGTCACCTGGAAGGTCCTCCAGGCTTCTCCAACTTTACAGAAGGTATCTTATTATTCTGGGATTTCAGGCAAAATGACAGAATAAAATAATGAAGTTTAGGAGAGAGAGTTTCAGCAAGACAGGCTTTTAAATCATGTTATATAAACCTGACCTTGTCATACCGATGGGCTCAGATTCAGGAGTATAGAGTTTTATACAAATCATGGAAAGCAGAGTAGAAAGTTGACCATATTTTTAATGTTCATTTTAGGCCACCCCTCTGCCCAATCTTCATTTGTCCCACTGCCTGACTTCTATCAACAGTTTAACAAATATTTTTTTTAGCACCTACTCTGTATCATACAGCATGTTGGCAGTGGTGTTTTCAATACGCATAGAATATGGTCTCCGCCCTCAAGGGCCTTACAGCGTACTATGAATGACAGACATCTAAACAGTTAAGTACTTAGAAACATATCGGCAGGCGTTTTACCCAACTTGGGGAGTTCAGGGAAGGCTTTCCGGAGCTCAAGCCTCACCAACCGTTTTTGAAGATCTGTAAACCAGGGCCAGTGCATAGCTTCATAACTGGCCTGAGGTATACAATCAGGGTTTCTGAACTGTACGTCCTGGACACAAGGCATAGATAATTTACTTTTCCAAACCATACTGGTACATGTAACTTGCTGAAGATTATTTTAACAATAGTGTATATCACCAAATCCAATTACTTAATTGTTCTTACAATGAATTGTGAAAGGATATGACTTCACTCTCTGTTTCACTGGGTGTTTTTAAGAACCTGGCTCTGGATAAATAGGTCTGTACTATCCAGTTTGTCTCCAAAAGGCAAAACCATTAATTTCCATTAATTCTAGCCTTCTTTCCTGACCTTCTATAAACCCTGGCTTTAGTTCATTCAAACTGTACATCAGTCGAAGAATTAAAGAGATTTTATAGTCTAGTAGAAAAAATCCTGAAAGCCTTTTATTTGGTGGTTGTCTCCCAGTTAGGTACGAAATAATCAGAATGAAAACGTATGTCATGCTGTCCTTCTGTTTAAGTGATTAAACTGAACTTTGTCTGTATAAAAGCTATTCAAAGTTCAACAGAACTGTGATTTTAAGAAAAGCCTGGGGTGTTTGTGGAGACTGCAAAATACATGGGAAAAAACCCTCCAAGTTCAATGTATTCTGCAAGGGACTATCCAATTCCAAGGGCAAAATGTGGGAGCTGCATGTGCACTAAAAGTACAGTAGCCAAACCTGCTCCCGCAGCCGCCATCGTCCTCCAGCCTAGCAGGCCTTGGGTCCAGGCCAAACAGACACTCATCAGGGAATAAATGGTCTGATCTGTGAACAGTTTGCACTATGTAACTGAACCTATTGACAGAGAAAGCCAGGAATGGGCTTATCCTTCTTACATCATTTTCATGAAAATTGCCAGTTACTGAAAGATTTCTATTGCAAGTGTGTTCTTTAGAGGCACATATGCACATAATCAAAGACACAAGCCTTTGGACCTCCATATTGATAACACTGCTCATAGCCTCTTGAATTTTTTAAGTGCTAACTGGCTGTAATTGGTACCAGACACTTATGAATATAAGTATTTTATATTTGTCAGTGTTTCCTTTGCACTTCAACCTAGGCTACTTGCTGGTATTCTGACGCCTCGCTGGCTGGCTATCAGTCACATGAGCAGCAAATGTACAGATGAATATACCATGAAATGACTTGGGGGCATTGAAGCAGAAGTGCCTGTGAGCATGAGTGACAGTACAGACAGCAGGGAGCAAAGCTGCTGGTAGGTGGGCTAACTCAGGCTGGGAGGAAACTCTGCTTTCCCTGTGAGACATGATGTGATCCAGAAGCTTCTAGGAGGTTCTGGACATTCTGGACACAGCGCTAGACCCTCCCTGTCTCCCACCACAGCTTCTCAAAATTCTCTTCTCTTGCTTTCTATCCTCAATCCCCACTCCCTCCCAATATACATTCACATAGCTGCTCTCTGTCTCTATCAACTTCTCTCTTTCTCTCTCCTCCAACCTCTCTCTCTCTTCATTCCTCCTTCTCTCTCTCTCCCTCTCTTTCTCTCTCTCTCTTTCACACACACACATACACACCCCATGTACACTAGGGTTTCCAGACACCTAATGTGCTTCCTATAAATCTACCAACTTTGAAACCCTGCCAAAATCCCAAAATATTACCCATGAGCAAATTCTAAGAAGACAGCTCTTGGGTATAATTTCTCTAACCTGCCACCATGCCATACTGTGCAGTTGACTGAGGCCTGTGTTACCATAGGCCTTCCTAATACTCTTAGAGGAGCCTCAATGCCCTGATATTTTTCCC